AAATTACTTTCTCCAGTATATTAAGCTACGCACTGAACACACCTCACAGTCTCTGTTGGCAGCTTCTCTACTATTCCTTAGTATTGTGTAGCCCACACTATTTCATAGTCTTCACTTTTGAAAGTTTCTGAATCAACTTTCAAGTTGCTTTAAAAGCCTAAACCTTTTCTGATCTACAAATCTCAGATGTATAAGTGTCCTAAAAAGAAAGCCCTTAGCAATCACAATTTGGAAGTACATCCCCTAGTTCAGTAATGTGAGTTTTCTGGATGATAATCATTATGAAATGTATTTAGAGTCTCTTAGTTATAAAACAGATAAAAAGATAAGGGATGGCACGGAATGGATTTGAAATAAAATTAAGCACTCTGTGTTTCAATAAAATGCAGACTTTGTTCAGTTTACTGGACTGCAGTCATAAGAGTGCGTATTTTGGAGCAGATGAGAAACATTCTCGTGGGGAACTGATTTTGTCAAAAAATGCTGATGTGATTCAGTTCAAATGCTCTGTGGGAATCCTGACAGAAGTCTTGCTGGAATGGATAAAGCCGCCGCGGTCCCTGCCTGCCGTGCGGGAGGTGCCGGCTCCTGGCAGGCAGCCGGGGCTCCCCGGGTGGGGCACTGCGGTCTCTGAGCTCTCTGTGGGGCTGCACACCCTCCCTCGGGCTGGGGGTGAGCAAGAGGCTGTTCCGAAATTCCTGCTTCAGAGTCTGTTAGCTGGGAAAAAAATTGGGTTGTTTGGGTTTTTTTTCTTAATTCTGAGTTGCTCTCCAAATCACTTTCTTGGAGCGGGGTTTTTCTTTAAATTTGCCATATTTTGGGGGTAAAAAGGGGATGAGGCAGGAAGAAGTTTCAGAGGGAGTGCTTTGTAGGGTGGTATTTCTGCTTTACAGCAGGTGGTGATAGGGCCTGAAGGAGGGGGCTGAAGGGCTACATGCACAGATGGTGATAGACCATGCTGTACCAGTCTGGGAAAATGATTAATCAATACCACAAGGATTTATTCTAGCACTAAGTTCTTTTAATTTAGCCTTATGTTTCTCTGCTCAGGAGTTCTGTAGGAGAATTTTCTAAATGTGATGCTGATTCAGGATCGTGGTGATTTTTGAAAGTAATCAAAACAGTTCTCTGGTTTTTAGCTGGATCTTGTTGCAAATGGCAGTGAAGAGAACAAATGTTCTACCCATGTCTCTAATTGGAAGTTGCAGAAATATGGCTTGGATTTTAATGAAGGGGACTTGGGGAAGTAATACTGAGAAATAGCAAATAATGAGTGAGCAAGATGTTTAATGCACATTTTTCATAATCCTATTGCAGTTACATTGCTGTAGGCAACCTTCATTCTGATACTTCCCAAGTTTTGAGGGTTTGCATTTCTGACTTTATTGATCTCTTAAAAGAAACCCTGTAACTTCATAGATCTTGATTTTTGGCAAAATGAAAAGGAAAAAAAATTAGAAATCACCTGAAATGGCATTATTTACACCAGTGTAATTCATTAACAGCATTGGAACTTTTAGGTTTCTGATGCAGATCTTTGCTTCCTGAGTTCTGGAGGATGTTGTCATCATTTATGGAGCGCTGGAGGAAGAAAATGTCTTCCAGTGAGCCCAAGACTCCTTATGTCTTGTTTAATGTTAGTCACCTTCCCTCTGCTTGGCTTTTTCTCCTTGTCTTGTTCCATTCCCTCACCTGGGTCAAGATTTTACTAACCTGGTTTCTTTTAATACTTACTGCCTTGGAGTTTTCTGCCTGAGCTAGAACCTCTTCCCAATCTGTGCTGGGTTGTAAGGCTTCTTTTAGGCACTTCCTTCCCTCTGATACTCCTTATCCAAAACAAGCCACCTTTTCTCCTAATCACAGCATGAAAGCTTCCTGTTCAGGATGTACTTCCAATATTTCTCCAACTGTTGGCAACCAGTTCTCTCCTACAAGGTAGTTCATCACATCTTTGTTTCCTGTCCTCTGCCTCATTTAGCTCTTCAGACCGTCTTCCCTCTGTCCTGTGTGTTTGTTTCCCACCAACTTGCTGATAGCAGTTCCCTCTCCCAGTAGACATGTACTTTCTCTGGTCAGTTTTTAAGTTTGTCCTGACTCTCTCCTCCCATTTCTGCCTCATACTGAACCACTTTCCTCGTTCTCTTCGTTTTCCTTTTTGTCCCCATTGTCTGTCTGTCACCTTCTCAGTATTTCACTTTCTTCTTCCACTGTGGATATCAGTGGTGAAATGACTGAGGTTACTGGAAAGGTAGACCTTAATTGTCTGTAGGGAGTCAACCTCAATCCAGCAGGAGCTATACTTTAGAGGAAAAATAGCCTTGAGCCAAAGAACACTTGCTTGCTCCATCAAAATGGCTCATGACTGGACCTAATATGTGTGGGAGGTTGGAGCACACTCTGAAATCCTCAGAGATTTTAGTCAGATTCTTAAAAATACTTACTCTGTATTTGTAAATATGTATATACGTTGTAGGCAAGGAGAACTTGTCACCCGACACTGAGGGCACAGACAGGTTCTTTCAGGGATCCTTGGCAGAATGATGATCATGGCACTAATCATAGGTACAATTAAATAATTATTTTTGTAACAAGATATTAACACAGAATTTATGATTAGAATGGCATGTGATTTTTACAAGCAGAATCAGTATTGTACGATTTATAAGTAGCATAATACAGAATTTATAATACAACCTCATTTATTTCTGCACCCTTTGCAGATCAAGACAAATCTTTAATACATCATATCAGTATAACAATCATAATCTAGACTCGCCATTCATATAAAAGAATATGAGTCACTCCCTCAATCCTTGGAGGAAGGAGAGGACATCCCTGGGCACTGGTAGGTCCCAGATCTCACTGTCCAGCAGCACCTCCAGTCCAAGTTCCCCCCTTAGGACTGGGGGCTGCTCGATTTATAGACAGTGTCCTGGGAGCTCTGAGACTCCCGTGTTCTGTGACCAGGCCGTTACCACCACCTGGTGGCCTTGGGTGCCTGGCACCTTGAGGGCTGGCAAGGGAGGGAGCAGCCAGCCTGGCACCCAGAAACCTTGAAGCCTGTAGGGAGGGGAAGAAGAATTCTCTTCATTTTGTCTCCTTGGTTGACAGGACCTTCAGGGATTGATAATGAGGGGAAAGAGAGCAAACACATGACTCGCTCAGTCGCAGGGAATGGCCGCTTGCCTCATAAAATGGTGCTGGTTATACTGACCATGTTTCCAGAGGTTGGGAGCAGGGAGTACCAGTCACAGAACGACCCTATGAACAGTTGGTTTTGGTGTGAACAATTACTTTGGAAGAGACCTAAGCAACGGAGGGCTGAGTTTTGCAATGGAATGTTGTTGATAATGATGTATTAATGATAACAGGGGCTCCCAGGCTCCCTTTTAATATCAGTGATGGGTGTTAGTAATGACTAAGGACGTTTTAAGCTGCAGGAATGACCTACGAGTGACTGAAAGCCGTGGTGCTGACTTCTGGGATTCTTAATCTTTAGATTAATAAAAAGATGCATTAAACAGGAATGCAGTGTGTAAACCAAAGTCACTTAAGGCTGAGTATCAAGTTTGTAAAGCAGTGTGCTATAGGATGTTTATTTCAAGGAATTAAGAGAAATTCTATTTTTTAAATGTTTGTGTTGACCAGATGAAATGCACAAATATCCTGTAAGAAGCACTTTCATGTTAATGGGAGGAAGATGGCAAAGCAAAATATTGCTTTATTTTGTCTCTTCTGAAAGAGCATATGTTTGAGTTCTAGAGATGCAATATATAGCGTAACCTCAAGTGGTGTTCACAAAGGTACTTTCCACTGTCATCCTTAAGTAGGACATAGAGCCCCTAAATACCCATGGAAAGTTAAGTGCAAGGAGCGAAAACTAGGCTCTGATCCAAAGGCAGTTGAAGCTGATTAAAGGACTGCATTTGTCTGCCGAGGGCTCTGGCTTAAGCCACTAGCAAGCTAGAATTGAGTTTCAGATGTTCAGATAGGCTTCTTGTGTTTGTTGAGTTCGTGAGTTTTCCTTCTGATCTGTTTTTGAAGTTCTGTTCATGATTATAGGAGATGTCCCAATATGTACAGCACCCAAAGTCTTACATATTTTCACTGTTGAGTTCTAGAAATAGTAAATAGATAATATTCAACACCTTAATTTAACAAGAATATGTATTGGGGGTTTTTTTATGGCTTGACACTGTATAGGTATATACCCAGATTGTATACAATTGTATGCCTACACCACAGGTATACCTAGAGATGATGTACTAACTCATATAAGATATGCCTAAAGCTAGAATAGAGGCAAGGAAAATATCTTTGCTTTACATAGTTCGCAGTTCTTTGTTTGGCTACTTTTAGTGTGCTCCTCCATTCTTCCCATCCTGTTAGATATCTAAACTTTTCAAACAGTGAAACAGAAGAGAGGAATATGTTTTTCATATAAGAAGTATTGTAGAGCTGCAAATATAGGTTAAAGTGTGAGGTAATGGTCTGCCTGACTCGGAGGACTGTTTTGTTTTACTTGTTTGCATGCTTATCTTCTGTTTTAGAAATAGAAAATAAAATATTTACATTTTATAGTAATGTTTTTTTGAGTGCAGTCCAAGTTAGTTCCTTCACTTAATTTCACTTGGCACGTTTCCCCACTGAAGTTCAGGCCAGGCTGTAAAATTATAGCTGTATGTAGTTACTAGCTGTGCATGTGCTGGGTCTCCAGTTTCTTCCAGTTGAGAAAAGTTGGAAAGTCACTTCTAGAGTTGAATGAAGATTTCATTCCAAATGTTAGTAGAAGTGTAGAACTTGTTCTGTCTGAGCTCTGTTTCACGCATACTATTCACCAAAGTTTTCCCCGCTACAAAAAGGTTTTGAAAACCTCTGACCTACCATTCTGTAATGTATCATGAGTGAGTTCTAGCACTTGAGGGTCAAAATGTTTGCATCAGTTTAGGGAGATAAATTGGAAATTGTTTTAATTCATTTCTTTCCTATTTGACCTCTAGGTTCCAGCAAGATGTGGAGTGACAGTCCGAGACAGCCTAAAGAAAGCACTGATGATGAGAGGTCTTATTCCAGAATGCTGTGCCGTTTACAGAATACAAGATGGGTATGGTTTGTGTGGGATGGCCTTTTGTTCTTAGAATCTTACTGGAGCTACCCAGTATGGTCAGTTCTATCCAGCATTGTGGAAGTTGTTTTTCAAAGTTGAGAATTATATGATACTTTTCATTAGAACAATTTGTACCTCAAAGACATGTTGAAAAGAATGGCAAACTCCTAGAAAAAGGCTCAGGCATAATATTGAGTAAATATGGGCTTATAGACTGGTGGCAAAACAGTCATTAATCAAACTCATGCTAGCCAAACAAGTATTAAATAGGTTGTGTTAACTTCTTGTTTTTATTTCACTTGGTTATGATGCATTCTTAACTAAAAACAAGAATTCCCTTGGGGGGAAAAAAAAGAGTTTTCAGCCCTAAAAAGTTTGTAGATTATTTTACTGCACACAACCAGCCATCTCTGTGCAACTCTTACGCAACAGGTACTTTCACAAACACTTTATTTGATCAGAAAGGCATCCGTCACCTTGGAGCCAAGGAATTGGCTACTACTGGAGCTGACTGGAAAAAAGTACATTTCCTTCATGCAATTTGTCCAGGGAGGGTGTGCTTTATTTACTGTGTGCTGAGCTTCATGTCTTGCCTTTAAAGTTTCGGGCATTTGGAGCCTGAGTAGCAAACCCCCACAGTGCAACATTTTAGCTGATCTCGCAACTTCGGCAAGATATGTGCAAGGGCTTGTGCTCCGATGCTAATGAGAGGCTTATTTGCACTTTAGAGAGAAGAAGCCAATTGGCTGGGACACAGACATTTCCTGGCTCACGGGAGAGGAGCTGCATGTGGAAGTCTTGGAGAATGTGCCACTCACGACACACAATTTCGTATGTTCGTTTTGTGAGACATTGAGTAGGGTTACATTAACTTTGTACTTTCAAATTCAGATCAGCAACTTGGAATATTTTCTATCTGTGGCATGTGGTGGGAGTTGCAAAAAAGGTTTTTAATCACAGTAGCTTAAGTGAATTAGATACAATTGTATTTGAAGTAAGTGATGTTAGAGTACTTGATCACCCTTAAAACTCTTAAGGTTTGGATGGAATACACCCTCTAAAATTTATAAATGTAGGGGGTTTAAGTCAGCACTGCATTGCAGAGCTGTAATAACAATCTACTATTTTAGTATTGCTGTATCTATAAAATGTATTCTGGGCCTCCCTGCTGGCTCTGCAGCAGCAATTAACTAATGAACTAACTATTCCCAGAGCAGTGCTGACATCATCAATGATGCTAGAGCACAAATATGTTTTGACCTGATAAAGCACCAAGTAAATGGAAACTGCTAAACAAAATCCATCTAAATGGTACCAGCTACATACAAAATCCTGGAAATCATGTTTGTCACATTGAGAAGAAAGACCTTCTGTTTCAATTTAAAAAATACCAAAATTTTATCTGCGAGCTGCTTAAAATATTTTACGCAATCTAGTTTGGCTATGGCTAGTTAGATGAAATGTAGTAGGCTTAACATTTTTTTTAGTATCCTTCTGAAATTTTGATCATTACAGGTAGTAATAGAACTAGAATGTGTTTTTATGCCAAGTATTGCTAAAATAGAAAATTAACTAAATCATTTCTCCCCCCTGTAATTTGGGGATCATACATGATCACCCTTTTGTGATTCTAAATGTTTGAGTTTCAGTAATCAAAATTACAACTATATGTGTAACCATACATTGAAGCCTTATATATAAGCCATATGTGTATTTCCAGTCCTGTGAGTGTTGGATAGAAACGTTATTTGGGCCCTGGAAAAATTAGAAGATAATATTTCAGCAGCTTTTGGTTTTATAGGTTGTATCCAATTAAATTCTGAATGTTTGTCCCTAGCACGATAATAGTGACATTTTGCTTCAGATTTGCTGCTGTCTTTCTTATCGCTAGTGAAGTGAAGCATTAATTCCAATAAACACTCGAAAGAAAATTTTAATGCATGAATACTGTTTCAAAAAAGAGACAATCTTTTATGCAAATCTGTCTGATACATAAAACTGTAGGGGGGAGACAAAAGCAGATAGCCTGTCTCAGGTTTACAGGAGGACTCTGTGTAATTGTGACTGTGTCTTACAACGCAGGTACGAAAAACGTTCTTCACGTTAGCGTTCTGCGACTTCTGTCGAAAGCTGCTTTTCCAGGGGTTCCGGTGCCAGACGTGTGGCTACAAATTTCACCAGCGCTGTAGTACAGAAGTGCCACTGATGTGTGTTAATTATGACCAACTTGAGTAAGTAATCACAATTGGTTTTCAAGTTGAACCTTCTAATAAGTGTACAGCTGTCAGCGTTTTCTTACATTGAATCTGGAATTGAGGAAGTCAGAGAAAGTGCCTGAAAAAAAATATAGGGGTTCCACTGTTCTTGTGAAATTGCTTAATTCATGTTCTTTCTGTGCTAGCTCAGACAACCAGTTCATATTTCTTTGCTGGACTATGAAATGCTTTCTTTGAAGCATGAGTAGGGTTGCTGAGCACTTGACTATATCAGACAGACTTCTCATTGTTCACAGTTGTTATTATTAATCAAAACTGGTTCTTTATTATGTGATGGCTAGGGCCTCTGTTTAAATTTTTAGCTCTGTGTTTATTCTCTTCAACCAGTTGAATATAGTGAAATTGCAGTTGGTTTTACAGAGATTGAAAACTAATCTGTTAGCAAGATAAATGCCTAGGTAAGAAACATAAAAGAAAATGTCCTAAACAGTCGTGTTCTTGAATCGAGTTACTGATCTATTTGTGTAAGTCTTTGATATAGGTTAAGGATCTGGTGTAAAATGGCTCTGTGTTCTATTTCATCAGTTTTAGAAGAGGCTATTAAGTCTTCTAAATAGATTTTCATATAATGAATAGTTTAAAATGCTGTTTTTTTCCCCCAAGAATTAATTTAGTTTCATTTTATGTTTGTAACTGTTTACATAGACATCTCTAGAGTTTGTGCTCAGGGTTTATGGATTACGTAGTTGTATCCATTTGACGTTTGGGTTTTGGCATTACATCAGTGCAAATGTTAAAATAAGTTTATGTACTCAATATAGGTATAGGTTGTGCATTCTTGAGGAACCAGATGTTTGCAATCCAACTAAAAGATTAAAAAATTACTTTCCACAAAGGTTATGTTTAAGGCATGATCTTCTGATCCTCTCTAAAGTAAATAATATTTTTAACAAATCTTGAAGATTTAGTGTGTAAATGTAATCTTTATTTTAAAATTTAGACTCTGATCAGTGAGCTTTTGGGGGTGTCTTGTAGTCTTTGAGTGTTATTTTGTGAAGCTTCTGGGTTTTGCACAAGTTAGGTTGTTTTTGTTTTGTTCTTGCCTCACAGTTTGCTGTTTGTCTCCAAGTTCTTTGAACATCACCCCATACCACCGGAGGAGGCCTCCTTAGGAGAGACCACCCCAGCATCTGGATCGTACCCCTCAGTGCCCCCCTCAGATTCTGTTGGGTATGACCTTATTCCTGCTGTTTAATAACATAACATTTCAGTACTATGCTTAGAAACACTCAAAATACTGCTTTGCAACTCTTATATTTTTGTAATCTGGCTTGTCATACAAATATATCCACCTATGCTTAACTTAAAAGAAGTGAATGTTTTCATTCACAGGAATTATATAAATTAGTAATGAACCAAAGTTAAATATGTATGTAACTGTTTGTAGAATTGAGGCCTTCCCTGTTAAACTGATTTCTTCTACATGATGGCTTAGACCTGGTCTAAACTGGAAAGATTTTATACTTAAGATTAATTAATTAATTGGTTATCAAACTACAGTTTATTTGCCTTGAAGTGACATACCTCAGTTTCAGAGTAAACCACACCACTGTAAGGTTGGTGTGAACAGGGGCCAAGTCCAGGTCCATAATACTGCTTTAGTAGCTTTTCCACATACACATTGCTTTAGTATCCTCCAGACCAGCTGTCTTCCTCCTGTTCATGTTGGGATATACCAATAGCATCTGTTTGCTGCAGCTCCAGGTTTTGCAGAATTAGACCTCTAAAACTGACCATCCCCCCTGTATTTCCAACAAAGATTCTGGACCCTTTTTCCTTGAAGAGATAAGTGACCATATTTAGATGATGTTCCCAGTAGTGAGGAGATCAATGACACCATCCAGCACTAGGTAGTTGAACAAATCTCCAGGGAAGAGTAACTCAGGGATGTGTATCACAGTCAAGAAACCTGATGCAGATTTATTAAGAACACCAAATACAAAAGCCTTCAGAAAACTATCCCCAGGACATGTGTGCTGCATGGAATTGGGCTGAAATTGCCTCTGGATTAGTGACCATTGTGCCCAGACTAAAGCAGAAACAAACTGGAAGCTACGCGGGCGCTTACGGACTCTTAACTAGAAGATAAATTCTCTGGACAGCCAAGACTATTTTATGGAAGATCAAATATGATGCCTCCCAGGAAAATAGATTGATAGTCCTGCAGAGGGAACCTCATTTGGTAAGTACAGAGATTATCTTCTTATTTTTACTATACTGTATGTGTAGATTCAAGTAAATTCAAAAGTGCTTCTTCCAGGTAGTAGATGTTGCCTTTATATCCCATGGATGTTAGTACAGCAGATTGTGGACAAGGCTGTTATGGTTCTCTTAAGTGCAGCAGGCTCTGCCTTTCTCATGGTACAGCCAAAATTATAACCAGGCTAGAACTATTAATCCATGAAAAAACTTGTTCATACCAACTGTTTTAAACAGCAGCAGATGCCAAAGGCACTATATAGCCCTAATCCTAATACTCTAAATTTTTCTGCTTTTTAATTGTCTTTGCCTCACATTAGTCCATTCTTACCAGTTTATGAAGATACAACAGTATGGATTATCTTAATTGATAAGACTTCGATCAGTCTCAGTTTTGTGAAGTGAAAATGGAAAGGAAAAGCTGAAACCAAAGCTGGTTAATGCCTTAAGGTTTTTAACTTGACATCTATAAAAATGTTAACTTTTAAATATACTTGCCAGTTGGTTTTAAGGCGCTTTTCCCAAATGTTGCATCTGTAAATGTTTGTAATTGTAGAAGTTGTAAAAGGTGTCTGGCTTCCTCCTTTTTGCTTTCTTGCTTTGCCATACACTTCATTGTTAAACAAGACCAAAAAAAAGCATACATCATGTCTGCAAAATTATGTTCATTTTGAAAATGGTTTATGATTATCAGCTGGTGTTTGTAAGTAATATGCATGTTACTCAGGAGATTTTCTCCAAGCATCTGTGTGTGCAGTATTTCCTTTCCAGAACTAGCTCAGATGTTATTATATGAGCATATGGCAGTGTCCATACCTTTTTCCAGGTATCTTTTTGCCTTTCTTTAGTAATACTTCTCTGCTTTTTAAAAACATAATTGTGGAAAGATTAATTTGTCTGAATTTAAGAAACTGGCCTTTTCCATAAAAACATATGCTTACCCGTGGTTTTGTTAAAGGGTATTGCTGCAATATGGGACAACAGCTCAAGTGGAACAAAAAAAAGGGCTGCCATTTGAGATTATCTTGTCTGGGAGGAGAATAAGGGATTGAAATTTGAGAGTTGGGCAATGGGATGTAAAATATGAGGAACTAGCGCTTTAATAACACTTACTAGATTAATAATTGTTCCTTTGATTTCTCTGTTCTCCTAGCATCTTGCATGGCTCAGCCCACAGAGGAAGGGATGTTACTAATCGTTTGGTAAACCTGAGGAAAGAGAAGGCAAACATCCTTCTTCATCTCTAGCCTTGTGAAGGGATTCCAGCGGCAGGCAGAGTGCCCAAAGAAAGGAAGTTTGTGTTGCAAGACAAGCTCGAGAGCAAAGGCGTGTGTGACATGCTGAGACATTGTCAAGGGATCAAATGGAAAAGTTTGAAAGAGAAAGGGACATAAAGGAAAAGACCATTGGACATGATGCAAAAGCTGCTAAACATGCGGGAGAACTGTTTCACTCTGGTCATGTGTAACATCCTAAAGCAATCCAGTCCTGTAGCCTTTCATTCTTCCAACTGAAAGCGTTAGGCAGTCCCTCCAGGTGTTCCACCCAAAGATGAGGGAGCACATATGGTCCCACTTGCACATCTCTGAACATTGTGTATCCAGCCTCCACATTAGGTCTTGTGTCCCATTTTAGTTCTTTCCGTTTGCACTCTCCTCTTGTGCTAAAGCAGCCACTTTAGTTATAATCTGCACTTAACTGGAAAGAAATACAAGAAGTGTAGGTCTCCCTAATAAGAGCCATTTGTAATAAAATTGAAGTAAGCAAACTGTATATGATACATTGTATTTGTTTTGTTCATTGCACTGTCATAAAGTTTCTTCTGTATCTTTGCTCGTAAAATACAAGCACAGAATTCCTTTGAACCCAGTTCCCTCCATCTCAAATACCTGCATAAGGGAGAGATTAGCCATTCAGAATATTCCAAACTTGTCTTTTTCAACTCTGATCTGTTCTCTTAGATGTTGTGATGTTGGACAAAACTCAGCACACACATGAGGCAGGTGTTATGGCAGGGTAAGTAACCTGTGGAGTGGGTGTAAGAGGGCATGTGGTCAGACTTGGAATAGCACAGGGGCAGGTTGCATTTGGTAAAAGCCAAAAACGTCTGCATTGCTCCAGGCAGAACACTGCTGGTAGGCAAGTTGGCAACATCTTGACTCTTTGAAAAACAACATTTCCCAATATGCTTCATCTTCTAAGTTGGAGGAAGAAAGAGGGAATGTCTGGTGCACCGTTCTTGGAAGCTTGCCAGTCCCTGCCTTTGAGCAGGCTCCAGCCTGTGATTAAACACCTCTGCTTTCCTTTCTGTCTTCCAAATGTTCACTGATCATTCTGCCTCAGCCAAAGATATTTAAATGTCTAGAAAAGCTTCTGAAAAGCCAAGGAAGCAAAGACACAGTCTTACAATATTGTATTTAGTACTACAATGGCATTTAGATCCCATGGTGTTTAAGTGAGCAAAAGCTTTGTGTTTTATTTTATAAAACAAATTTTCCCCTAAAAATACTGGCAGAATCTTTTCCAGGCCTTTCCATGTAAATGTTCCCAAAGTTCCTACAAAATACAACTTGATACGCATTCTTGCCGAGCAGAAAAGGTCTGGTACCAGAATCTTTAGAAAAATTGCTTCTAGCCTGTACAACAGGAGGGGAAAACCTCTTACTCTCCAGAACTTTATTAGAAAAACACACTAGTGAGCTGAAACCTGGTTTGGAGGACTTATGACAGCAGTGTGATTCTCTTGATAGCCCCTGGTGTATGAAGGTTTTGGAAATGTTAGGCTTGTCAGCTCTGATCTGGGCCCAAGGGCCAGTAAAAATAAATGCACACCGTTGTGATAATCCTGGCAGTTCTTTTTCACCTGCAAGCCAACACGGATGAAAACAAGTTATCATGGTATAGAAAACTGCACTGATTTTTAAGAGGTAATGACTGTTACAGAACTGTCTCATGTTACTTCTAGACTGACTTCAAAGGATGGTGCAAGAGTGATCTTCACCTTGTAGTTACAAATGGATACTGCTGTCCTTTTCTCCAAATCACCATTTCATTTGAGGTTATTGAATATTTCCAGGCTGCAGAGTTGGGAAAAAAAAAATATGTTTTCTGGCAATATCTGTGGAGTATTATGATAATTAAATCACTAGCTGAAATATCATTGTGTCACAGATCTTTAGCAGTCCTTAGAACCTTCCTGAAAATGGAAGTGCACTGTGTTCTTCATAAACAGCAGTAACAAAAAACAAATCCAGTCATATTCTGGTGTAAGCAAAATTAATCAAAAAAAGTGCCTTAAAACACATTTTAGATTTGGCCTAGGTATGACTGTGCAACCTACAGGTGAACAGTGCATACAACACTGAGCCCTGTGGCTAAACTGAGGTGTACTTGTTCAGGCTAGAAGGGGAATAGGGAAAATCTCAGTCCATTCAAAAAGGAACTGGCACACACCTCATAATTGGATAGGTGACTGAATTTTCAGTTTAAGCCTTTGCCCAACTGCAGCAAAATAAAAGTATGGGAAAAAAATTTTGAAGCCCAAACAAACATATTTTAAGAAAAATCTTTCCTGAGTAGACCAGCTCTTAAACATTTATGAAACATCACATTGATGAGTTAAAGGAGATTGCAGAAAATCTGTATAAAAATCTTCTTTTGTATTTGTAAAGTGAACTAACTTTTATCATTACAATTTCTAAATCTGGTGGAGGTACTGTATATGATTTTATGAAATTGCTTGTTCCTATATAACGTACCATGTGTGGACACTTCTCTGAGTTGCCTTACTCTTTCCTGTGGATCCAGTTTTGTGGAATAGTAAATCTGTGGACACACTGGCGTTTGCTGTGCTTGCTAAAGGGTATAAAAATTTTACATCTTATATTCAGTTATTTTTGTCTCCTGACGAAACCTCTTTCTGCTCTGTCTTGATAAAAAGGGAGGGAACAATGTACTTACCCCAGATACATGGTCCAAGGTAAAAGTTTGGTCATATTGTCAGGAAAGGTAACATTAAATTGAGATTTGGCAATTATCACCCTGTTGTCTCAGAAGCTGAGAATCATTGTTGAAGGAATGCCCACGTCTAAGAGTCTGAGAGAAAGTGGTCAAGATGAGGTAGTATAACCACTCCAATATTGATCTTATTTGTAGAAGGTCTCCTTTAGCAGGGTGGCTGTAAACAGCTCACAGAGTCCACAGGAGCAACAGAAACTCAGATCCTGGTATTCAGATTGAGGCTCCTTTAAGCCTCAGCCTGCTGTATGTGTATGTCACAGTAAACAGTTCTTTGTAGGAGTTGTTCTGGTCCTCTTGATTTTTTTATTTTATTTTTTTTGACCAATGTGTTTTCGTAGCCTACAGAACAAGTTTTGGGCCTGGCCTGGAATAGACAATGTCACCCTTTCCCAAATGATGATGTCTTGTCCTTGTAGCTCCAGTGTCCCTTCTGCTCTTCTAGAGCAATTAAAATGTAGGAATACTGTACAAACAGGCTTTTGGTAGCTCAGAGGATTGCCACATTCTTTGGGGTGATGTGCTTTGATAGATCAAGATCTCACTGCAGATCAAGATACAGCTTTTGCCACACAGGCAGAAGCTGGTGGTAATATCCCCTGAGCCTGTGATCTCAGTAGGCCATCTTGGCCAGCAAACCACTTGTGTCTTTCTCTTCATTAGTTCCCTTTTTCAAGCAAAATTGCCGTTTAGCAAAAATTTTTTATAAGTGTCCCAAGGACACCCAATAATAAAATTCTGATGGAGCACATGGCTAAGTGCTTATGAGGTTCCCATCCCTGGATTCTTGGTGTCGGAAGCCCAGGGACCCTCACAATAATAGTTCAGAGACTCAAAAAAAAAAAAAAAAAAAAAAAAAGGGAATTCTTTATCAGCCTGTAATTATTTACTAAAGATCTGGACTTCCCCCAGTTAGAATTTAATGACTGGAAAAAGCTATTAAAATTGTTTTCAAATATGTGTGATAGCACGCTATCTGTGCTAGCAACATGATGGACGTGGTGACCTGTGCCCAGAAATACAGAAGCAGCAGATGACCATTTATGACTCAAAGGAGGATGTAATTGAAACAATACTTTTTCAATCTGGTTTTCCCTCTGTTATCTTACTGATGATCACAGAAAATCTGGTTGCTTCTGTCCTCGTCATGTGGCAGAGCTCAGATAGTGTCTCACGCTCACTCCTACTGCAGTGATCTGAGGGATGTTCTTACACATCTCCCTTAATTTCGTTATTACCAGAGAACTCTCAGGAAGTTTAGCAGGAGTTAGCTATCCAAACAATGCCAGTACTGACCTGGCTGAGACACTTTTTACACTTCTTGTATTTTTTTGTGCAACATCTGACACACTTGCCTTAACATGAAAATAGAGTACCTTAAAATGTCAACCAAGTGCATTCCCAGTATTTATATTCTGTCATGCGACAATAAGTAACTGTTTTTTTAAAAATTAACATGGCTAAACCCCCTACCTCTTCTTCCCTGCCACACCTCCCAAACATATGTATTTTACTACAAGACTTACTAGACTGTTGCTTGCATTAATTCACAAGAGCTTTGTTTTGCCAATCTCAATTTTGTGAGATTGTCGGCCAGGAAGGAAAAGATGACAAGTCCTTAGGATACAGATAGCACTGAGTTCTGGGACCAGTGCCAAACTACATAAACTCTTCAGTGAAAGGTAGGATAATAGTGTTTAAAACAGACCTGATTCTTAAAAATGCCAAGAGATCCTGGTGAAAATGTTAGTTGCCTCTAAATACCTTTGGAGAGGCCAAGGAGTGTTTACTTATAGGAGGTGGCTCCAGGACCTATTGCTGCTGTATGCTGCTCTGTGTTTTATTTCTGAGGCTTCTCCCTGTGGGCATTGCCTTTGTGGGCATAGTAATTAATCCATGAGTCATTGAATGGGTGGAGGACTCCACTCTTCTCTTAGAATTTGGCAAGAAAAACCCTCGCTCCTAAAACCCTTGTTGTCAGACACCATATATACTTTAACATAAAATTTTCTTTGACAAAGCTGGCAAATGTTTTCATTGACCTTTTGCCTTATATCCATTAGATTGAATCATTAGACTTAACAGGGACTGACCTTGACTAGAGTAAGAGATAATTGCCAATTTATTGTACTTCAGCAAAATTAACGGATAACCAAAGAAGTGACTTTCTGCCTTTTTACAAACAAAAAACCAAGAGATGTTTTGTCTTTTAGATATTCAATTCATTATACAATAAATTGAAGACTTAATCTACATTTATGACTGCCAGTGTTTAAATTTCTTCAGGAATCTTGTCTGTGTAGTCTGAATGCCTATCATTCAAGTCAAACCTATTGCATTGCCTAACTGTAGCACTGTAAATAACATTTGAAATGTTGCCTATTCAAAGTTATTACTTACAGATTGAGATTAAAAGGTGATATGTTGATTTTTATTACATCAACATTGGCCATGTTATTTTTAGTATCAATTATAATTGACCATATTATTAATCAGTTAGGTTCAATGACCATATGTAATTTTCACTCTATATTTGCTGATCAATAATCCTATCCATACAATTTGTTTTGTGACATTTTCTAACTGTAAAATTGATGTGAGATGTTAAGCATTTTTAGTTCTTGATGGGTTACCATTTTAAAGAGTGTATTGCATTGACTCAGAGGAAACTGCAGAGTATCTTTCTATCTGCAGTGCATGTTGGGCTACATGAATTTTTCAGATCAGGATTTATTGTTACTAGTGTGGTATGGCATGGTAGAGTTTTTTGTTTTGTTTTAACTCAGAACTCTTCACAGCCATGTAATTAGGTAGTTTATGCAGAAGAGAGTTGTTGCAATTGATCATAGGAGAGTAGAGATCGTTCATTATAAATTGTTTTTATTCAGGCCTTTAGATCAGTTTTTTTATGTATGTATTATTATAGTTGAAAAGGACTTACCACACCCACTATGCAGTGTTTGAAGCCATTTGTAGACCTAAATCCTCTTTTTCCTTGACTTTGTTTCTCAGACCACCAATTCTCCCTAGTCCTTCTCCTTCAAAATCCATTCCAATCCCACAGCCCCTCCGACCAGCAGATGAAGACCATCGGAATCAGTTTGGGCAACGCGACCGATCCTCTTCAGCTCCCAATGTCCACATCAATACAATTGAGCCAGTCAATATTGATGTAAGTATTAATAACAGTTAGATCAAGAATAGTAGATTTGATGTGTTCATTTTGAATATCAGTGCATTAGGTTTATCATGTGCACACAAGTGCTGTGTTTCTAAGCTTATCCTCAGTGGTCTATCAGAGTCTTCAAGGACCATTCATTTTTCATTTCTTCACAGATGCGTTTTTGCTGTTGAGAGCTGTAAGAACACAAATAACCCATTCTCCAAAAGGAGAACTGCCTCTTGACAGTCCTGTCCTTTTCATTTTCAAATAAACATTTTGCCCCAAACCACTGCTTTTTTTTTGTGTTATTAGTCCCAAGGCTCTTGCTGCTAGCTGTAGCCAGTAACCACTCTTGCAAGCCATTCTGTGTGTTAAACACATTTTTATGCAAGATAGAGGTTTTTAGTATTTGTATTCCAAGTAACATTTTTGGCATTGAAGAAAATTGAATTATTAAGTTAAGCTGAGTTCAGATATACCAATAGTACCTTAGGATTTCAAGAGCCCAGTATATGTTCTGAGCATGCTTTTAGAGTGTTCAGAAACAGCTACACTTAACTCGTTTTCCACGTTTTTGAAATCTCTGAATGGTGAAATGTAACTAATAATAGTGGTTGATAATAGTGTAAGGACAGTTAAAACCTTTCAAAATGTTGATCACGACAACCACTTTCTAATTTTGCTAAAATACACAGCTTGTATTTTACCCTTAAGTCTGCTCTCTAGAAATTATTCATTTGTCAGATGAATAGTCTTGAAGTCTGCCTGGACACTGAGGCACAAAATCTGTTTTGCATGTGAGCTGATGGAAAGGTGAAGTGTTAGTTTTAAGAGTGTGGCTGTGTAGACATTTACATATGATATATGGCACTGGTGCAGCCGAGGCATAGCCAGTGCCTTCAGCAGCAGCGTAGGTGTATGAGGGAACAAATATAATTGTGTAACAAAAAAGGGAACAAAGATAATTGTGTAACAAAAAAAAAAAATTGCTCCGTGATGAAAACTGTTGGAATACAGATGGAAACTGTTAGAATTTTCTGCTTTTCTTCTGTTTAGAAAATCCTTAGCGTAGTTTGCTTTTAGTTGCAAAAGATACTCTCAGTTCACAGTGTATTGCAAGCAAAGGAAACCTTTTGCAGTTAGTCATTTCTGAGAAGAACAGAGTGCGCCTGGCTATGCAAATCAGGTGTGTTGTTTTAAGAAAAAGTGAAGCAGGACTCATCTGACTGATGTACCTCAGTACAGGAAATTGATGTCCCAGCTTCTAATGTGGCACTTCAAATCATTTGTGCCACAAACAGTGTAACTAGAACATTTAGTTCAATATCTCTTCACACATTTTGACCACCTCTCTTTTTAAACCAATATTTTCATGTCAGCATCTATTTTGGGTAGTGTTCATTTCACTTTACTACTGAGAGATGCTGTTTTAGAACAACTGATTTTGGGAAGTTTAGTAGTTGTTATAAGTAGTTCTTTGGAGTCGCTGCTATTATTAAATGAGAATAGGAAACCACTTTTATTTCATGGACAGCACATGACATTATGGATTCTCAAATTGATCAATATCAATTGATTCCAGAATCTAAATGTTAATACCTAAATTAAATACAGATTTTTTTTTTAATTTTTTATAGGAATTGATTAGAGACCAGGGTTTACGAGGAGAGGGAGGTAAGTAGCATTTAAACTAACTACTGTGTTACACTTAATTACACAACCACTCTGTCCCGTTACCCTACTTCCTTCTACAAAACACAGGCACAAAGGAAAATATGACTAGAGCAAAAAGTGAATTTACATTTGCTTGTCCATGAACTTAGTATTTGTCTCACGAAGATTTGAGTCATTTGCTGGTCATTCTGGGAGTGGGGGAGATGGAAGGAGAAGAAGTTTTGAAGTAGTACCTAGTTTTTTTAGTTTTAAAATTAATTTGCACTCTCACTTCTTTGTTTTCTCTCTCTCTCTCTCTCTCTCTCACACACACATACACACACACACACACACACATTCACTCACATGGCTGCACACAGATACACTATAACTTCCCAAGTCTCTCTCAGAGATTTTTACACCTGTTGTTACATTTTCACCCATGGAAACAGTGGGGGTTTTTATTATTGAAAACCATCGACATGGTAGACGGGCCATCCATGTGAACTGCTGCATCCTAAAGCAGTGTGAAATACTCCAGCTCTTCTCCCCCTCTGCCCTGCTGAAGTTGCTGCTTTGCTGTACTGCATGCCTGTGCTGCTCTTGGAAGCAGGTTGTTAGGACCTTTCACTAAAGCCAGGGTTTTTTGTGTTTCCTTCAGTAATGCAGAGCCCTAATTCACAGTTAAGTCAGAACTAGTACCAGAAAGCTTATTTTTCTTCACATGTTGAGCACAGGCCTGTTAAGTCACTTCTCCCACTGGCTTCTGAAGTCCAGGTAGGGCTTCTTATGTGCTGTATTATATTCCTATGAATATAATAATAAAATAGAACTATTGGAAATAAAGAAGTAGTAAGTAGGGCAGGCATATGACAGTTTTTCCAACTCTAAATCAGTAACACAGTTGTCTCCTACTAATTATAACTTGCTTCAGCCATAAGTTAGGTCTGAATTACCTTAGTGCACTCTTTCCTGATCTCTAAGATTTTGTTCTGTGGGCTGTCACTGACTTTCTTTGTCCCATGCAAATCTGGTATTTGGTAGAATGCTACCTGCCTACTGCATTGTGTTTGATGGAGCTGTCTTTAATTATGCCAGCAATAGAGCACTTTTGAAAAAGAAATTTCCTTTAAACCTGCAAGCTTAATTGAAAGTTACCAGTTTTAGGTATTTTTATATGTGTTGATAGGTGTGGCTTTCCACAGTTTTGCCCATTTTGTCCAGCATTTAAATGTTGTGCAATCATGTTGGTTTTAACTTTTGATCATAAACTGTCTGTTTGGCATCTGAAAACAATTGGCTATTCCCGGTCCTGAAACAGTGTTATTAGTAATTGACTTTTTTTTTTTCCCTCAAAGTTCAGAAGCAATCTATGAATAGGAGTCAAAGCATCCTAGTTATTTCCCATGACTTCTTTCATTTCTTCTGTGTGTCTGTCTTTCTGTCTCTGCCTGCCCGTCTCTTTCTCTCTAACAGCCCCTTTGAACCAGCTGATGCGCTGTCTTCGGAAATACCAATCCCGGACTCCCAGTCCCCTCCTTCATTCTGTCCCCAGTGAAATAGTGTTTGATTTTGAGCCTGGCCCAGTGTTCAGAGGTAGTTGGGCTCTTCTTTCTTGTTTTCACCCAAACAAAATAAGTAAAACCACAGATGCTGTTTGTGCCTCACCCTCACACCGTGTGTATGTAAGTGTGTGAGTTTATCAAAACACCTCTGTTTTTTGCTTGGCCTGGCTGGAATGCTTTGAATGTGCTTTTCACACATACTCACTTTCACCTTTACACGCTTGAAAATGACTATAAATAAAGTCTGACTTAAATCTTCAAAAGCAAGGAATTTCATAGTTGAGGTTTTTCTGTGGACCTTAGCATAATTTTTTTAACCAAAGGTCCTTGGATTGCACTGCAGTGATTTTAAAGATAAAATTATGTCCTTAACTTAGAATTTCCTTGACTGTTCAGTTTAAGTCAGTTCAGTGCTATAACAGTTTTCTATATTTGATATTCTTTGTTTTGAGAAGTAATCTAGGAAATTAAATGTGAATTACAAACATTTCCATTGATATCTTGTTAGGTCGCAAGGTTTTCAAGTAACATTTTATGTCAGCTTTTGACAAATACTTCATTTTGAGAGTGTGCTGTTGACATCACATTGGGGTCCTAGATGGTTTAGACCATGTAGTTTTTATTTAGTTAGCAGATTTCCACTGAAACAGTATTTGTGTCCTGTACTATGTAAAAAACACAGATTTTCATATCATTGACCCTGGGGGTTATTCAGGCCTTAAGCTGTCAATGGATCTGTTGTATTGCACAAAATCCCGAAAAAACTCTGTGGGATTTTATATGCTGGAGAAACCAACTACTGAGTAACAGCATGAAATGTAAATTCTTGTGTCTATACGTATACGTGTAGAAATGGTCAGTTCAGTGCATGTAGTGTGGTTTTCAAATGCTACCATCTTGGCTGTTTCAAAGACTTTTGTTTCAGAATATATCAAGAGCAGTTCACCTTATGAACTTGTAAAGTTCTTCCAGAAGTCTTTGTAAGAAGACAGGTGTTCCCAACAAGCAAACTGGCTACAGAATGGAATACGTTACGTACAGCTTCAGAGCCCAAGCTGTTGACTTAAGTCCAACATTATCTGAAGTATTCTACTCTAATAACTTGGGAAACAGACCATCTGGTATTATTATGAACAGATTAACTACAATGTTCTGCCATGTGCTGTAAGCATTTTTGGTGAAGGGTGAATATTGTGCTAGTGTTTCTATACTGTGGTATTAAAATCAAGTAGGAGACTTTAGTTACCTCAAAAGAAAATGCATTCTGGTAGAGCTTTGCTGTTGCAGAGAAAGTCTGTAACCCAGTAAACTTTTTGAAAATTGCTTATGGAAACATCATACATTTCATTCCATGTATGTATGATGAATTATATAATAAATTTATGACAGTATAGTGGCTGTAACATAAACATAAGTCCTTCCTTCAGGTCTTGTTAGGATGGACTTCCAGCTGATTATAATTGTAGTTAGGATGCCCAATATGCATCATTATTGTTACTTTAGCATAAGGGACAGTTTACAGATGCTGTGTCCCATTTTGGATGCGTTTCTATGTCATTATTTTGTGCTTCCACTTCTAAATTTATAGATGTTAGCTCAGTGAGGACAGTGGTGTTTAGTCTGATAATTTAGCATGCACTGAATGACTGAATTTGAGCAACAGTTTTAAAAGCCACAAAGTCAGTTTTTGAACTCAAGTTGGTATTAGGAGGCACTTCTTGGTTAAGAAGGGGGTTGCTGAAAGAATATGAAGAGGAGTATTGTCTTCCACCGCTTTCCAGAGCTCTAATGTGAGAGAAAGCATTGTAATGTTAGAGGTCTTGTACAATGACATACATTGTTTAGCAGAGCAGCATGAATTTAATTAACAGTTGACCCTATTTCATGTCCTTTGCATTGGAAGGGTCAGCATAACCTTGTTACGAATAATTGTGGTGTATTTTAAAAAGCAGTGTCTAGCTGAAGTGCTCTATTTGTAAAGGGCCATTGGGGCTCTGAAACAGCTCTCTTAGTGACATTTTCCTGCACAGATTTGTTTAGATAACATACAGGCTACAGACATACTGTTCTTTTTGTGTTTCATAGAATATGCTTCAAATAGCTAACTAAAGTACTTGTTCTTTTTTAATCCTTTCTACACTCTAATATTTATTTTTAAATAAGAGTTCTCTGCTAACAGATAGCTTTAAAACAGCCAAATGGTTTTCAGGTGGCACTTGGAGACTCAACTAGAAAACATTTCAATTATTTGCATTTAATCTGTCTTGGTTCCAAAGTACAGTATTTCAGCTATTTGTTGGGTTTCTAGAAGCTTAGGTACAAGAAATCTCTGAGGTAGATACTGATAACTAAAATGCTACTGCTTTTCTACTCAAAGGAACCGATGGAATTAAAAAAATACATTTTAAAATTTTTTTTCTTACTTAAAAAGACACTGTCCTTCTGATAATTCATGAACAAGAGACTGGGGACTATCTATACAGGGATGTTTGCTGTAGACTTGTCTCTTCCTGAAATCTGAGACTCGAGTGCTAATCTAGTGTTAGGACAATATTCCTAGGATATGTTTGTTCCCTCTTAACATTTGCATTGATGTTTGGAGATACTGCATCTTAAACACAGTTCTTGCAGCTAATATCAGTGCATTCTTGTAAGCTGGATTCTTATAGATAAAATTATCCTGTTTCTGAAATTTAGGCTCAACCACAGGTTTGTCTGCAACACCTCCCGCCTCTTTGCCTGGGTCACTAACCAATGTGAAAGCGTTACAGAAATCACCAGGACCCCAGCGGGAAAGGAAATCATCCTCATCCTCAGAAGACAGAAATAGAATGGTAAGGAAAAGATCAGCTATTTTTATTTGTAGTGTGGGATATTTGTAGTATAGAAATACTACGCAATCGTGTTCCTCTCACTTTGCTTTCATCCAAGCCATCTGAATTATTTTGAAGATGACTATGGCAATGGTCAAGGACTTGAAACCAGTAAATAATGGAGTGAGAGAACCACTTTTAAACCACTTTGAACCAATAAGTAATTGTGAGACTGAGATATAAATCACTTAAATAATTGACTAGACTCACTTTTACTCCCTTGCACCCAAATGTGTGGTGTGCTTCATATTGTAATGCTAGTTTCCCTTCACATAATGGCTTAACTTTTCCGACCATGATTCATAAACTTTGAAAGTAACAAATTTGTGTAACAAATTTTTATGTAACAATGCATAAAAAGATCTGCATTTTTTTAAATTCACAATTTAACATTGTGATTGAATAAGAATTGAAAAATAAATATTACTTTCTTTTTGGTAAGAGTTTCTTAATCTTTTCTGGTTTTAACACTGCCAGAAAGCTGTGGCAAATATTTCATGCCAGTAAATAATTTGGTATAGCTGTGTCCTGAGGTTTTGTTTATGGCTGATTTGAAAAGTCAAAAACAATACCTGAAAAAAAAAAGGTTTTTTAGGACTTTAATGATATGAAATGCTGATACCAAATCTTTAACAAAGGAGCTGCTTTTACAGACATTAATGCACTTTTTGGTTGGTTGGTTGGTTGGTTGATTGGTTTTTTTACTCTTTATTGTTTTTGCATATATATAAAGAAAACTCTTGGTCGACGGGATTCAAGTGACGATTGGGAGATACCAGATGGACAGATCACAGTTGGACAAAGAATAGGATCTGGATCATTTGGAACAGTCTACAAAGGAAAGTGGCATGGTATGTGGCCATCATGGCAAACAGTTATTCTTCAGCAAGTCACGCTCCCTGCCAGGGGTCACCCAGCTGGAACGTAATAGGGAGAGTCCACTGAAGGGCAGTAAATATGATTTGGAAATCAGTAAGTAGTGTAAGGACTTCATATTGTTTAGAGACTCAACTCTTGCATGTTATTCTGAATTAAGGCATTATAAGAGTAAAGATGAAACATAGTTATTAGGTCAAAGTATCCATCTTGACGAATGAGGATTTCAAATGTGTATTTTAATAGCTTTGGCTTGGGTAGGATTCCTCAGAGTAAAGTAAGAACAGTGGTTTTACATTTCACTGAGTATTTACTTATTTTAATGTTGTAGTGATTTATTTCATGAAAGCTAGAAAACAGGGTACCTCAGTATTTTTCATGCTCTGTATAGCATTTTCTCAGTAGAGGAATATGTATCAGTGGCACTTACTAAAAATTGCTGTTTTAAAGGTGATGTGGCAGTGAAGATGTTGAATGTTACGGCACCCACACCTCAGCAGTTACAGGCTTTCAAAAATGAAGTAGGAGTGCTCAGGTAAGATTATTTTTAAAGGCATAAAATAACATGTGTAAATTTGTGCTTCATTAATCACTGAATTTTAGATTTCCATTAGAACACATTGGTCTTACTCCTCCGTGATGATACCTCAGGCAGAAAAAAATAACTATTTCTTTGTATCCACTGCTAGTTCTTCCCTCCTCTGTATGTGTTTGTCTGCACACCTGTGTTGTCAGTATGTGTATGTCAAAACACTCAAGACAGGACTGGTTTTTGCTATTATACTGCCCCCAAGGCACAGTGAAGCCTAAGTGTGAGCTGTAGGCCCTTCTTTCCACACATTCACATTTTGAGATTGAAGGAGAGCACACCAATTGTTGGTTTTCAGCTGCAGCACTGCCCACATTATCTGTTGTTTAATAGTTTCTGCTGAGTAGCATTAATTTCTCTTTGAGGTTTTTTTTAATTGTATTTCTCATAAAATCACTTCTTGATTTCCTTTTCTCATGTCTACTGCTTGTGGTTTCTCAGAGGAGGTATTTGGTTTGGGTTCTGCTCTTAAAAGAGGATCCGTCAACATAGTATGATAGAATATTTATTGGGAAAGAACATTGCATCCAAGTACAATCTTGAGCATTGTCGAGCCTAATTCTGTTTTAAAAACAAAATAGCAAGAAGGTTTTTGCCTCTGGAAACCTGATGTGTTGAGCTGGGTGCCTGTGCTACAGAAACATCCCCAGTAAGTTACATGCTGAAAAGGGGATGGTCAGCCTTTTTCCCAAGGAAAATGTTAGTTCCAAAAACTCTAAGCTCTTAGCTGTGGAAGTAGAGGCATTTCTGTGGTATGGTACTTTGGATATCTCTTCATTTTTTTGACATAATTTTGACAGAACTTCGTGAAATCAAAAATCTTGTTTTTCATAGCTAGTCCAGATTTGTGCTTTGGATATCTCTTTTTTTTTTACATAATTTTGACAGAACTTCATGAAATGAAAAATCTTATATTTCATAGCTAGTCCAGATTTGTGCCAGCAGTCCCATAGCTGGAGTCCAACCTTTTTGGTTGTTGATGGTTTCAGCATTTCTTTAGTCAGTTGTTCTATCCTTTGACCCAGACAATGCAGATTTACCCGTTGTTGTGCCTTTTCCATTATGCTTCATCATTTTTTGCAAAGATTTTTTGCCAGATTTGCAAGAAACTGCATATTTTTTGTTCCCTCAGCAGTTACTCTCAGCAACTCTCAACAAATCCGTGAACCTGAAAAAGGCACAGTCACATAGCGTAGAACTGTCCTGGTCTGCATTTCTGCAAGGACAAAGGTTCACACTCTGGGCTCCCATGTTAGTGTTTTAACATAAGAAAACATAATAAGAGTCTGCCATCTTCCACCACAGCAAAGACTTAACAAGCTACCACAGGTTTTAAGCTTGATCTGTCAGGTTTCACCAGCAGAGAGCTGACTGCCTTCTAGCATACCAAGCTGTGTTGGAAGAAGATTGCCTTTATTTTTCCTCAGCCCCTGGGAAAGCTAGGAAATACTCCATAATTCTTAGGGCCTCATCTTTGTAAAATCTGGTTGGTATGTTTGGAGGTATGTAGTTCTTCCTGTCTATTTGATGGCAGTAAGAACATGATTGACTTGTCCTGGAGGGTGAGGAGAACATTTCAGATTTCACAGTGGATTCTTTCAGGCCTTGAATCTACTGGGATATCTACTGAGATAATTCTTTTTGCATTGTTCATTAGGAAATTTTTCTGTATGGAGTTGCTCCATCTTTGGAATAGGTTTGATTTAATCTGGTCAGATCTCTGTGGTGAACTCTAGTTTCTCCAAAGTGCTGTTTGGAAACAAGTTCATATCATAACCTTGCTGAGGAACAGTTTTCATGCCTGTTTCCATCCTTTCTTTTAATACTGGCTTCATAGAGAATACAAATTCTTGTCAAAAAAAGCCCTAAGTAAAACTGAAGACTTGTCAAGGAGGTGTGTTGATGGTATACAAACAAAAAAGTTGTCCTTTCTGGAAGTCTCTGGGACTGGAACTTCATTTTGGATGTCTTCCTTATGGGCAGCAACATATCGTAGCTGGACTAAGATCACACAAAAAGCAGACCTGCCTGCAAACCATTTCCATCCATGGGGTCCTAGTGGAAACAGTATCTTCTGAGCAGTCCTGTGCTAAAGTGTTTGCCTGGGGGAAACCGTGTTTATCTCAGAGTAGTTATTTCATGTTATTATGATCAGAAAGGCTAATGTCTGGAATAATTCATTAAACTGAATTTAGCAAGAGATTACCGTGTTACCTTAGTAAAACTTGAGATTGACTCAACTTCTGTTTGGAAATATATATGTCAACTGTGATAGACCTGCCTGGGTTTTGCCTGATTTCCTATTCATTTTTATTTGTTTTTAAACAGGAAAACACGACATGTGAATATCCTGCTTTTCATGGGTTATTCAACAAAACCCCAGTTGGCTATTGTTACACAATGGTGTGAAGGGTCCAGCTTGTATCACCATCTACACATCATTGAGACCAAATTTGAAATGATCAAGCTAATTGATATTGCACGACAGACTGCACAAGGCATGGAGTAAGTATCGTATTACTTGTCTGAAAACGAGCTCTGGGGCAAAGTTTTCTTATCCCCTTTCCACTGTGGCTGACATTGGCAAATAAGGCTGGTTATCTGCTGACTTTGCCAAGCCCAGGGTCCTGTCTCGATCATCAAAGCATTTGGTGAAGTGTTTTATTATTCTGATGAGTCAAATAGACTTTGTGTGCTTTTTTCGGAACATAGGAAAATACAGTCTTAAATAGAAGAGTCTTTACAAACTTTATAATGCAGATAATCATATGGTAGGAGGTAGAGCATAGTTTAAAAAGAAACACCCTGTGAATAAAAGGACAGAATTCCATAAGATATGCACAAGGCAGACAGCCCAGCCCTGTTAGCGAAAAGAATCAGGTTTTTTTTTTCCTTTTTTTTTAAGTATCATAGCTCTTTAAATAACAGATTTCAGTATTTGGAGAAAACATACCTATTTGGTTCTAAGGATTGTAAATAATCTTTACTCCCATAGAGGACCACTGAGTTAGAATTTACAAAATTAGCCCAATGTTTTCTGTCAAAATCAGAGCACTACTGTAAGATCAGAGAAATCACCCTCCAGCTGAAAAACCACTCTGATGATTGCAGTTCATTGTGCCATTTTTCTACTAAGTATTCTATTATATTTTCAGTCAAGAGGTGGGGAGGTGTTTGCAGCAACCAGCCTTAGCCTTCTGTTAGCCTGCTCATCTCCCCAGGCCCCATCTGTAGGTAGTGGAGATGCAGAAACTGTTTTATGAGCATGATTCAAAGCAGAGACATAAATTGGGGCTTTTCCAGGAGTTTCGTGCCAATCTCATTGACTAAACAAAGAACCATGGGAGACTGGTTGCCTAATTTAGGCTGTATCTGTGCTGTGGGGCAAGTACTCTCCTCTGTGTTCCCTGCCATCTATTTATCCAGTCTGCAAGGGATCTTTTTTCCACTCTTGTGCTTAAAAGCAGTCAGCATACCTGAGTACACACTGACACTGGGAAGCACATTTAGAAACACCTTACCTAAAGCTCTGACTAGCCTGCAAAGGGTCTTGACAGTCACCATTAAGGCTGGGAGGCAGAACTTTCAGCACTGAATGTGAAAAAACTACTGAAGTTGTTTTTATTGTGAATATTGAGTTAGAGTTGAAAAGCAGAAGTTTGAGCATAATTGTTATTTCATTCAGCAGCAGCATCAGATTTGAGCTGGAAATCTAAGCTTTATTATGCTTTTGGCTTGTTTTTCCTGTGAATGTTGCAGAAACTGTCATTGGTAACTGAAGTTTTACTACCTTGCAGTTTGAATATCTACAGAATTTGTGTTTCAGTAATACAGTGAATTTTGAGTTGCTGATTAGTGAAATATTATTTAACCCACCTAATCTATGATATTCCTTTTCAGTTATTTGCATGCCAAGTCAATCATCCACAGAGACCTCAAGAGTAATAGTATCCTTTCCCAGAGATGTAATTCTGGAATGTGACAGCATTCCTGGTTCTTTTTTTTTTGTTCTGCCAGAGATTAACTTAATGATATGAAAATCTGTTCATGTATAAATATTTGCCAAGTAGAAATTTCACTGAGTAATAGGGGTATTATCAATAATAAAAGGGGTAATAGCAGTAACAGCAAAATAAGGGATGCCTACGGTGTCTGTTGATTTCATTGCAATAACATAGGAGGTTTGGGGGTTTTTTTGCATCCTTTGGTTTCTACATGTAATGGAAGATTGTGCCAGTTCACTCACGAAATATTTTCAGCTTTCCTCATACTTGGCATTTCAAGAAAGTACTTGGCACTTCAAGAAAGCCACCTGGCCGTGGTGTGTTCAGCACTGGCCCAGTCATTACTTATGTAACCCTTAAGTAGCATAATTCCTTATGCTGGCTGCTTAGAATCTGTGTTTCACAAAAACCTTCTTCAGTGATGGTCAGTGGTAAAAACTGTCATGTGCATGTTGCAAATTTGTAGCTGTTTTTTGTTCTTGTAGGACAGGACCAGCATTGCTTGTCTGTTTTCCCTTAACATTTCCCCCTTAGACATATTTCTTCATGAAGACCTCACAGTAAAAATAGGTGATTTTGGTCTAGCTACAGTGAAATCACGATGGAGTGGATCCCAACAGTTTGAACAGTTGTCTGGATCTATTCTATGGATGGTATGTAAAGGGGAAGTGGTGAGTTTGTTTCAACAAATTTATTTGCCTTTGGCCAAAATTTCTACACTATTCCTCCAGCACACTGATATACACAAGCTGTCTTAAACTGGAAAAGACAAGCAGTAGTATGAAGTACTAAATGAATACTTTTCAACTGTACTTTAAGCATATGTTTTCCAGTAGTCAGCAAAAAAAGCTTTAGTGTCTTAATCCTTTACTCTGAGGTTTAAACTGAAAAGAAAATGGTGGCTAAGGAAAAAGGGTATAATTAATCCAGTGTTGAGGAGAAGGTGAGAAAAGCCATGCAAAACATCCTGCAAAGGAGTAGAGGAACTAGCTCAGCTAAAAGTAAGATGCTCTTAAGTTTTAAGAATTCAAGCATGGTTATTCCACAGTACAACTCCTGTACAACTCCAGTTTCTCCTTTTCTCCCTGGAAAAACTTAAAGCTCTGTTAGTTGGCATTATTCTCAGTGTTGTTATAATCCTAGTTTCCAAATGTCTTCTCAGCCTGGCCAAGGTAATTTTGTTCTGTCGTAGAGGAATAAAGAGATCACCAAACTGAAATGAAGCAATGGGTTATGAGATTCATGTCAGCACCCACTCTGTATTAGCACCCAGTAACCTGTGAAGAGTGGACCTTGCCACTTGTACTCTGGAAAAGTCCATGTTTTGTTCCTGGTATGTGAGGTGTAGTGTGATGTAGAGAAATGAAAACTAATTCTTCCCTTTTATGATACAGGCACCAGAAGTTATTAGGATGCAAGATAAAAACCCATATAGCTTTCAGTCGGATGTGTATGCATTTGGGATTGTTCTTTATGAATTGATGACTGGACAGTTACCATACTCAAACATCAACAACAGGGATCAGGTAAGGGAAGGGATTGACTTCAGTCAGCTGTGGCCTGAAACAGAGATCAATTCAGCCTTGGGTAGTGCACTTTCTGGTGTGTTGTGTGATTGATATTTCCAATTCTGATGTTGTGAGATGACATTTCTGCGTCTTCTAGATCTGCCTCAGCCACATAGCACCAATTTACTTACTTCTCTTGAGGTATTTTTTGTGTTCTTTTTTACTTCAAGTATAGATTCTCAGCTTCTGAACTGGTTGCCAGGATACTTATTAGGGAGAGAGCAGGTTACTTAATAGTAATCTAGAGTAGTTCTGCAAAGGCGAAATGATCCTCTATGTATGTGTTCCGTTATTCCTCTTTATTTCCTCCCCACCCCACCCCTCCACTTACATGGAATAATAGTGCAGCTACAGGACAAAACAGAACAGTCATCTCACTGAATGTTTTGTATTCATTTCGATCTTGAGAAATGCAAGCACCATCTAACTGAATTTCAGGAAATCAGCATTTCTCAAACCCTGCTTGATGGAGTATATGACTTTCCAGAGTGTGTGAATCCTCTAAGAAGATTACTTAATTGTGAACAAATATTCCTTAAGTCTTAATGATACCACATGCCTGTAATATATCTCCATGGGTTAGGTGCTTTGGGAAGGCATACCTGATTCATTATTTCTGTCTAATCTGAAAATAGTATCTGTGCATCAAGATCTTTGGTGTGAACTATTCTGTGTCTAAGCAGTGATGTATTTATGTTGCTTCTGTGTCCTCATCTCTTGTTTTTTCACTGTCAGTACTTGAGAACTGCAACCATAGCAACGTTCATCTGTGAATGCCATTTTATAGGGCTGCTTCCATATCTGCCAGAACATATCATCCCAATTCATCAAATTTGGAGTGACTCCTTCTTTTTAATTTTTTTTTAATAATTTTTGTTTTACCTTTTGAAAAAAGGGAGATGTCTGGATTCCTGGCCAGATGGATCCAGCCTTCTAAAAACTTATTTAACATTGTCTTGTCTTTACCTTTTGAGATTTGAAAGATGAACCCAGTGATGTAGGTGCTTACAATTAAGTGCTGAAACAAATTTTAAAATGCAAGTGAAGCCACCATATACAATGTGATCTAATGTCTTGAGTTTTGCCACTCCTTGTCTGTTATCTCCAAAGTTGTACATATTCAACTACTATGACACAACTAAGATTCTTAGTGAGCAAAGCATCATTCTTGTTACACTTCAGTGTTCCTCTCACCATAATAGATTTTTCTAGACCGTTCTTGTAGTGATAATCTCTTTTCTCTAGTTCAAAGTAAAAGTTTAATCCCTATGTTATTTGTAAAGAGAGTATTTGAAACATAAGTAATGAATTTTGAATAATTTCAGCTTGTGCAATTATTTAGAAAATATTAACGCAGATCATGGTAAGTCTCATTGCAGCAGAGGTAAGGGACAGGGTACATAAGTCTACTATGAAATGCTGCTCTGGCACATGGGGATTTCTAAAGAAACCATATGGGAGTTTTATATTCCTCCTTGATGCCAACACAGATGTAACTGAAGCAGAAAGCTGAAAAAGGACCGGGACTGTGTTAGTATAAATAACACGAATGACATGCTTGAGATGTGAGGGGTTTCTGATGGTTTTCTTTCCCCAGTGTCAAGATATGAAATAGTTACACTTCATTAGATAGAAGGTATGACACACCTGCTGGGTCTGCCTGAGTGTTCAGAAAAAGCAGTGATTACCTGCTGCAGCATGAATGGATCTTTGATTAACTAGTTTGGAAGGGCTTTTTAGTGTCAGTGCAACTGCAGTACTCAAACCACATTGCATTTGACTTTGGCTTGACATGATGATGTTTGATGTGGGTTTTTTATGTATACAAGAGACCATTAACCATATTTATGTTTTGTTTTCCTGCTTCCTATCAGTTTACTTTGGTTTATGCTTAAGTTTTATCCTTAGGCGAAATATAAGCCTTCCATGTACAAAGAATTACTGTAAAAATACAAAACCTGTCTGTCTCCTCTTCTACAGAGGAGAGACAGTACCTCTTTTTCTTTTGTGGTTTTCTTGGGGGTGGGGAAGATGATCAGATGTCAAGAATGAGCTTTTGTGTTGGAAAAGTATATGGCAGAATTTATTCTTAAAAACTGAAGGGTTTTAATATCCAAAGTCCATGTATTTCTTAAAATACCTTTCTGCGTGAACTTGCTGTTGATTTATAAAACAGAATACTTCCTTTTACAGAATATTTATTTTTAGACATTCTGTTCCTGCCAAAGTTGCTTATTCTTGTTTTTGTCACAGTTTTTGACACTGAAGAACCGTTCCTTGGATGGTTATTGCTATAAATGGTAACCATTTACTAGTGTTCAAGTTTCACAGAAATCTCTCCAAGGAGGAGGAGGAGGAAAGATCTAATTTTTTCTCTGTACTGAATAGGTTAGCAAGCATTGCTCTAAGAAATCTGGCAATTTCAATACCAGATAATTGTTTCCTGGGAGCAGAAAACTTTCTGCTGGAACTAAAATGTTCTTGCAAAATGTTCACCTTTTTTTACTGTTTGTTTTATGGACTAATCATCTTCCTCTTTCATCTTTTTTCCCCCTTTAATAAAGATAATTTTTATGGTGGGACGAGGATATCTATCTCCAGACCTCAGCAAAGTACGGAGCAACTGTCCAAAAGCTATGAAGAGACTAATGGCAGAATGCTTAAAAAAGAAGAGAGATGAGAGACCCCTTTTTCCACAGGTGAGAGATGCTCCTCTTTAACTCTCAATAGACTTTAGAATTCAAAGTTGCAAACTCACTGACCAGTTCCAAATTTTTTTTATTAGTGTTACAGCATGACTTCATAAGAGCATTGGCTGGTTAGAGCTGTTTAATTAGAAATGCTTATTTTAATTTCAGAACACAGGTAGTAAAATGACCTGTGTATTTGGAAAAGCATTTATATGTAGGAGAAAGTTTCAACTGGAAGATAGTGAAATTGATAATTATAGTTAGACACAAATTAGAACTTCATATATGTGCTCAGAAATCTTTATAGCCCCCCCTTCTTGCTCTCCCCCAAGCTTTATGAAGGGAAACTGATAGTTCTGCCACAAAACTAGATTTTTATCATGCCTGCTGAGGAAGGTTTGGGTTCTAAAAGCTTGGAGGAGGGGAGTGGGAATATGATTTTTTTCTACTTTGAATGTAACCAAATAATTTTCAAAAAATAAGGAGCTCCCCCTGCTGACTTTTTGGTAAATGGTATTGAGCAAACTACTGCCAAAGCTGGGTTTGTTTGCAGCAATGGCAGCTACAGGTACTAGTGCTTGGACAAGGAGCCAAATAAAAAGCAATTGTATACACTGTGCTTACAGAGGGAAATTAGTATGCCTTTATAAAGGGGGAAATTCCCAAACTGTCCTTTCCAGCTTTTGCAGGATACAAACATCAAGCATGCAATGCAGTAATCAATATTTTAAAAATTCTGTTTTAATTTAAATATTTTTCTGTAGTTAATTAATGTTGTGCCTTTGGTTTTAAGAAAGAGTTTCAGCTTTGGAACAACAGGTTTGATCGTTTATTTTCTACCTGTTTTAGATTCTTGCCTCCATTGAGCTTCTGGCCCGGTCATTGCCAAAAATTCACCGCAGTGCATCTGAGCCCTCATTAAACCGGGCTGGCTTCCAGACAGAGGATTTTAGTCTATATGCTTGTGCTTCTCCAAAAACACCCATCCAAGCAGGGGGATACGGTGGGTTTCCAGTGCACTGAAAAGAAATGTGAAAGCATGTGCCTGTGTGTCCGTGTGCTGGGGTGTTCCTGTGAGTGCAGCTCGTGTACCAGCTGTGTTTTTAAGGTTTACTGAGGGAATGAAGATTCACTTCCCTACACTGGGCATTGAATGTCCCAAGCACAAAGTCTGTGTTGGTAACGAGTGCCCTGGGAACAGCTGGCACGAGAGGAATTGTAACGTCCCGTAAGAGACATGGGAAAAGTCACTTCAAAACAAGCAAGGTCCTCTTGAGGTCATGGGGTGTCAGTTTTGCCTAGTTTATTGATTGGAATTAGTTACTCAGGAGTGTATTTGATTTTAATTACACAAGCTATGGTGGTGTGTTGTTTTGGTTTTATTTTTTTTACTTCAGTTGAGGTCATTATATTTGAACAATAAGCTTTAGATTCTTCATTTAGTAATGCTGTTCATATGTGGGAAACAACTGGAAAAAAACTGAGCTTCAAGGCTGAACACAGTCAAAACTTCTTGTGGTCAGCAGAAGTGAGCAGATACAACACAGAATCCAGAGAAAGCCCTGAATTAGGTGTGGCTCTTATTTTGAAAGTCGAAATTTAAAATAGTCCTGTTTAGAGAACATCTCTTCCTGCAGAAGAGTGGTGACATGGGTTGTTATTTTTTAATTTTTTTTTCCTCCCTAAATACTCTGACCTGCTATAGTTTAGACCATATCAAAATGTTCTATTACAATGCAACACAGAAGAAATTCTGAATCTGCTTTTGCCAAACTGCAAGACTATTACTGGTAATGATGCCTGTATCCTTTGATTAGCACGGATTTCAAAATTTAGAAAAACATTTTAAACCTCAAGCATGACCAAATACTTTGAAAAAAATGCTGCTTAACACCCATAATAGGAAAAGAAGATTTGAAAAAGCAGTTGTTTTCATGGAAATCGGTGTTATACCATGAATTCTGTTAAGATGAAAGGTTTTAATTATTTTAATATTGTTAAGAATACCACTGAACATGACAAATTGATTTTTTCACTTCCATATAGAAGCTGCTAGTTTGACTAGAAGGGAGTCAGCTAGACTAGATATCTGACTGAGAAAGCTAGACACCTTACCAAAATCCTGCCAGCTCACTTTGTATTTTTCTCTGGAGCATTCCTCTGGAGTAGGTAAATCAGAGGAGTGGTTCAGGTTGTATCAGTCTTTGATGTCAGATATGAAAACAAGATGTACTGACAGTGTTCTTGCGTATTTTGAGGTGAGTTACATGGTTTTACTTGGTTTAAACAGCTAAGCTGTTAATTTTTACAGATTCTTGCATCAGAATAAGCTATTGCTGCTCTTGTTAGGACTTCAGGGGCCAAGAGTGTTCCTAGTGGCTTCTGATTTACATACACATGGAGAAGTTGCTACCAATAAGTTTTTGAAATAGATCAGGAATTCCAAAAAGCTTGACTTTCTGATGTCAGACAACTGAGCCTTTTAAAATGAGAAGCAGATGTAGAGAACTGGAAGAGATATAGGCAGTTTCTACATTTTGTGGCTGGATTCTAATAGGCTTTTTGGCTTCTGCTGTTGGAACAATTTTTCTCATTTTCTTAGTCAAGAAAATTTAACTGTTGAAATCTCCCTCTATGGAAATAGTTATATAGGATGAAAATTGTTACTGTTTTAGAAAATCTGTTTCCCATCTCTCTGGTAGCTTTACCTCATTTTGGCAGGCTTATCTTAAAATGAAAACAGGACTTAAGTGTTTTCCTCTCTCATTCTTTATTTTATATATTTATTCTAGACAATGAGGAGGAATGCTTCCTAAGCTTTGGGGTATTCAGTACAGGCTACAATTTCCATCTCAGAGCAAGAGGATGCTACTGGGTCTCCTGCAGAATCTAGAAATGTGGCATTCCACACAGAAAAGTCTTGACTACATGGGGAGTTGCAGAGAGTGCAGAACCATCATCACTGCCCTGCCCAGGCTTACTCTTTTTCAGATCTGCCCTATCAGTTCAAACAAGTTACTCCTTGGAGTAGTGTTATCCTCCTTGTTGTTAAGATTGTTCGTCTGTGCTCTAGGAACTACAGTTATGGGGGAAAAATGCTGCCATCCTTAGACACACTTGGCCCCATTTCCTGCTGCATGGTCAGTGCATTCTTCCCGTCTCACCTGTTCTTACACGTCGAGCACCGTTTGAGGTCCATGGCTATAACGTGATCTTAGCTTCTCACTAAACATTTTATGAAGCCTAAAAGGAGGCTGGGTTTTGTGGATCATTAACTTTATCTGACATAAAGGCATTTAGAGCATTCTGTAATTTGTAATTGCTGCTTCAGTGAGATTTGGGAACATCTGTAGGATGAAGATGATAACTACATCTGTGGATTTGGGTCAAAGTTCTCAAAGGTGCAACTCAGCTATGTTGTTCAGAAACAGATACCTATTGGTCCAGAAAACAGGTCGTAGGATCTCAGGTTTTTCTGGAGGAGTAGTTTATAGCAGGTGAGCTTCTTTTTTAATTTACTTTCCTACATCTCGGTATAGAAACAAAATCTGTCTTGTTACCTTCTAGAAGATGTTCCAGATTTTTATTTAACCCCATGGATGGTATCCATACAAAAGATCAGCACAAAATCCAACAGAAAATGACCTCTTTGTCATAGTTTTCCTGTGTCTGTGAATGTAATCCAGGCAAGGTGTTGGAATCTGGTGTTTCTCTTTGATAAGTCAGTTACTCTCTACTTCAGTAGATAAGGCTGGCACAGGCCTGGAAGGGAACCACTATTCTCCTTATGATTCTTCAGGGAAACATGGCATCTACCCCAGCATAAGGAGGACAGTTACAGTGTTGTGTATATACCTGAGTAACCTCATGAGTCCAGGTAACTTAGAAATTTGTGAGAGTAGAGAATGGTAGCTGCATCTTGAATCCCTCCAGGAATCAGGGGCAGCAGGTTCACTCAAAACATGCCCTTGTATTACATTGTTTGGAGGCAACATGAAAGATCTTGATCATCTTTTGAAAGTGTGCATTTAAAATAGTTTGTGCTCGCTCTGCATAATACAAGCGTGAAAGGACTGTAGCAGCTAACTTGAAAGGACTTTGTAAGAAGTGTGTGTTTTCAGATGCTATCCATCCTTTGGAAAGGAATTTCTTTGTTACCAGTCAAAGCAAGTATCTGAAGTTCTGCTTGCTCAGAAGCACCTCACATGTCCGGCTCACAGTGAATATAAATGTCTGGGGTTTTTTTCACATAAAAAATGTCTAAGTATGTGGTTTCATAGCTTCATGGTAAACTGATCTCATTTGGATCAGCCATGGCCTACCTCCTTACCCTTGCACTGGCAGATGCTCTCCAATTCCATGAGTCTGTTCCGTGCATTTGTGGGGGTTTCCCCCACCATGAACAAAGCAGCTCTCCAAAAACTGGTTAGAAAACTCTCCTTGCCCAACAGCCTGAGGTAGCATTTCCTACACCAGGTCCTTGAACCATCTTGCTTTAAGGACACATAGTGCTGCTGTGGCACAATGGGCAGGTCACTGCTCTACAGCCCAGGTCAAGAGATAGACTGGGACCTCAATAGTCCCAGTTTGGATTAGCATTGCCCATTGCAGGACTGTGTCCAAAGGCTTAGCAGGGCAGAATCAGGACAGGGCACACTGGGTTGTGTTCCTAAAGCTGTCTTCATTGCTCTCAGGCAAGACCTTCCTGGCCTGCTAGAAAATGATGAATTGACATTTCATGTTACTTCGTTTATCTGTATGCATCTTAGCCTCAGGAAGAGGGTTCTCTCCCCCTTTTTTCAGGTGGAGTTTCTTCTGGAAACTAAAAGAACCAGCTACAGATATTTTACATCTTCAGAATAGAAAGGGTGACATAGAGTACTTCAGCTACTCCTCAGAAGGTCCTATTGACACCTAGATGAAGGATTCCCGTACGTGGATAGGTATAGCCATCTACATTCCTCATCTAGGGAAAGCTGCTGCTGGCATCCGCATTTTATACATGTTCAATCAACATAATCTTGTTATTAGATGAACATGTTACCTTTTTTTGGTCTGCTATTGATTTGAGATAGATTAACACCAGAATTTTGAAAGGCAAGATTTAGCTTTAGCTTGTCAAAGAAAATGTGTTTGCTAAGGTTTTATTTAAATGGCAGCAAAGTCTGAAAACTACCTTTTTAAAGCTACCATACTCTCTGAAATACTTCTTGACTTCTGATCCTGTTTTTCCATTGCTCTTTTCCAATTGAAGGTTCATCTTTTATCTTCTGAAATCCCTATATGACTATTAAAATCTGAATTATTACTGGAAATGGGCAGAAGGACAAGATGAGTAATGAGGGAGCCATCTCTTGTTTATAAATTGATCTTTAATCAGCAATTTAGAAAGGCAGAATGAAAAACAAATTAAGTAGAGCATGTTTTGAAGGTGTAGCTAGGCATGAATGTCATTCTTAAAAATTGGCCTCACAGGCAATACTTGATGACTTTTTTGTCCTTCTCTTAAAAGAAAAAATATACAAAACTTGAGATGTTTGTAGAAGATACTGTGAAGAGAGTCGAGAGATCAGTGAAATGTAGCAGAAAGCAGCAAGAAAAAAGGATCAAATACTTAGAGTATTTTAGAGCAAGAGTTTTATCTGTTGGTGGAACTTGTAAAATAGGAAATTAGGTCCATCGTGAAGCTTTTATTCCTTCGTTGTTGTAACTTAAACCTACCACCACAGTCTATAAAGACACACAGAGCTTCAGGTCTGTCACTGCCTCCTGTGCCAGCCCCTTTACTTCAGACCTTGGGTGTACTCCCTTCTCATTTCTTGGGACACACAGAGCACTCTCCCTGCTTTCTTCAAGTTCCTTAGAACTGGATCAGCTGCTCCTCCCAGGCCTTTTAGATGCCTTTTCTTCCCCCTCCTCATGCAGACTGCTGATGACTCTTTTGGTTCTCTTCTTTATAGAACAAGACATTCCATGATAAGCCTAAAATTTTGTTTACAGGGATGTTTCTGTTTCGTTTCCAATATTCAGAATAAGAATCTTAAGACAAAACAAAGCCAACAACACGGTTGCTCTTGAAAAGATGGAAGGATACCAAGATAGGGAGCAGTTGTTTGGATGTAGTGGCATTCAGCACTCTTCTGTTGAACAGAACAAAGGGTCTCTTATGCCTACTTATCACTCCTTCCTTATTACAAAAGCTCTGAGAAGTGCTGTCAAGAAAGTGACATAAAATAACCCAAAATTCATATAAAACCCAACACAGGAAAATTACAGGTCTGCTCCTTTTTCTCTTCCTCCTGAGTCCTTTTGATTATGCGCAGTTGGACACCCCTCACTAAAAATCCTACAGAATACAATTTCTTTGTGGGTGGCAGGAAATTCTTTTTGCTAAATCATAAGATTGAGAGGGTTAGTATGTTAGATACAGCTTCTATTCAATCTTCTGGGAAACTCCTTAAAGACTTTGGGCAGCGATTTTACTCTGTGCCATAGTTCCTTTCAGAAATGGGACTACCAGTCTATCTCATGGTATGGTGACACTGAATAAATTATGTAGAATTTCAGGAGGTCATCACATGTGAAAGCACTGCATTTAATTATTTTTTATTCAGTAATTCTGAAGGAAGCATGTGGTTGCTTTATTTGTTGTGCTCTCTGTTAGTGAGGCCTAATTTCTGGTCTGGGATTGAGTAGATAGTCTCCCCATTCTTGTTTTTCTCTCAGTAGGTTGCTATGTTGGTCTCTAAACCAGATTGTAGCATTCTTTAATACTGGTTTTATATTCAGGCACTTTACTGTATATAGTCTTTGAAGGTTAATGGGTGTGTCAAACAGTTCTTTGTTATTAAACCAATTTTACACCAGAACAGAAACTAGTTTGCAGTCAGACGCATTTATGGAAATTGTTGCTTCTCAGGAGGATATATGTGCAATAAGGAGTTTAAAGTAAAATCAAGCTGCCACATTTTTTTTTCAAATGCATGATGATTTAGACTTTGCTTGAACTCTCACAGTTCTTGGGAAGAATGGGTACAGCTTGCTTTCAAGAAATTCTATGTTGGTTAAATATGCTGGGTCTGTATTCAATGTTCTCTCACTATGTATTCTCTCGTGCTTTAATTTTAACAGTCTGCATTTTTTAACATCTTTTGTATTCAACCTGATGTTCAGCTAGTCTAGAGAAAATCTCTGACTGCCTAGTAACTGAAATCACCTTTTTAAACCAAGCTCTTGTCCTCCCTCTACAGGAGAATTTGCAGCGTTCAAGTAGCCACAGCACCATGGCAGCACCCACTCTGTTATTTAAGTCTTGTGTTCCTACAGTTTCTTAACATCAAAACTCCATTCTGCTCCGCAAAACCTAAAATAATTTAGAAAAGATATCCATAAGCTTAAAAGTGGAGCAGAATGGAACTGCCAGTCCAACACAATGGGAAAAAGTACCTTTTTGGGAACCAGAGTCCTCTGCTGCCAGTGTTTCTCCTTCAACACAAACCACCACGTGCATTCGGAGACCCGCAGTGGCTGCCTGTGCTGCTGGCATCATTCCCAGGAGAGAGGAGAGGGCGCTCGTGGTTTGACTGTGGTGCTCGGGCATGAGGGGATGGAACTGCTGCTGCAACTTAGGAGACTTGCTTTGGATGGTCTGCCGGTCGGCTTTCTCCCTCTAACAGTGTAACCATCAGAGGCTGAAAATCTGATGAGTGCTAATTTAAAAGAACCGTTCTCCATTCTGATCCTTTTTTTTTCCTGGTGTACTTCCTGATTTATGGACAATGCAGTATCCCCTTTTCTCTGTGTTACAGTGTCAAACACCTCAATCTGTCTATATTATTGGGTTTTATTCTTTTAAAATTAAAAGTGTGGGGCATTGGGAACTGGAGAAGATGTTATTCTGAAGGTGAAGAGGTTCAGCTGAAGGAAAAGGGGATGCTGCTGCACCTTTTTTCAGATTTACTTTACCACTTCTTAAAAAGAACAAACAATGACCACCATCCTTAACCTTTTTCCTTTTCCCGTATTTTCTTGGTGTGTGCATATACAACATCTTTTAGAAGGATTAAGTAGATCCTTCTTTTGTTGGTCCAGCAACAAACTGAAGTTTTAAAAAAAAAAAATGTAGCGATACTGTCCTCTCTTTTATTTTTTCTTTGTATCATATGATACAATGTATTTATCAAAGATGCTACTGCAGCATCTGAAGTCTGTAGAGTTCCCGATACAGACTGTGAATGGTGTATGTACCTACTTTAAAAGTTTTATTTTAAATGAGGGTGCAGGTTAATGCCAGGTACCTTACCAATATGTAATGTTTTCGTAAACGGGGAAAAAAGTTCTCAGGTTGAATTGAATACAAATACAAAACCCCCTAGAATTAGACATTCCAAAAATTATGTTTTGGTACTTTCAAGAGCTTTTTTTAGAGGATTTTTATCCTGTTAACTAAACGTCCTCCGATAAGTGTGTGTGTAAATGTGGAGCATCTTGTCCTAATGGCAAGTTGTTAGATCAAAACAAAACGGTACTTGCTGGATCCACGCTGACTACTTCTCCTCTCATTGCTTTCCTCCCTGTCATCTTTTCCCTTCCGTTTGTCTTTCCCTTTTGTACACTTTGCAAACTAGGATGAAGGTGGCGGTATCTCCACTAGACTGCTTTGTTTTCCTGTCCTCCAATCCTGGTTTTCAAATGGTTGGTAGCTTTTTGACAAGTTACCCAGTCAGGGAAAAAACAACTCATAAAGTTCTGCACATCGTTTACCTCTAGTAGAATATCTTGTGATGTGAGCTGTTTGCAGAGTTCTCTGGTATGTGGTATTACCTGTAAATTATTTGTACAGAGGCAAGGCAGACCACGTTGGAAAGAAACTCAAGCTCAGACAGAAGTTTTCAGAATTTGATTTGTTTTGGCCCTGTACCACTGCAGGTGAGGCAGGAGAACTGACTTCCCCCCTCTGGCAGGGACGTTCCTGCTTAGACGTGGTGGGGGATGTTAAACAAAATCGTGACAAATAAATGAAGGAGTTTAATGTGTGTGAATGTGGTGTCCATGCTAAAGATGGATGTACTGGGTGAGGACACTGTCCTTCCCTCCCTGGGGAGAGTTGGACTGTTTCTGTCTGCAGAAGGTTGCTCCCAGGTGAAGGGGGAAATGCACATGGGTAGTGGAAGGCGCTTTTAATACCCTGGAATTCTGCGGTGTTGCTGGTAGTCTGTTATGTTTGTCAGTAAATATTTACTGGGGTTATAGGGACCGGACTAATCTGAAGTGGGAATTATAACTGAAATACTGTGTATTCATATTAATTCCACAAACATTAGCAAGACAGCAATAGTGAATGACTTAATAGTCACTACAAGAATGAAGTGATTCATGTTGGTACATGAATAGAAATGATTTTGTGTACAGGACGCATTTTAAAAACAAACAAAAAAAAAGCACAAATTTTTTCTTGTCTGCCGTGGATCTTCAGATGCTCTAAGGTTTTTTCCTTATTGAGATTGGCAGCAATTTAAAAAGTAGCAATAGCCACTTTCTAGTGTGGAGAAGCCAATGTGCAAGTGGTGGTGAAGACTGGTGAAGTCAGAGTTCTCCCTGATGATCATCTGAGGCCAGTACATAAGAGGTGGAGGGAGCCACTGGGGCCACTGGTGTCAGCAGGCAGGTGAGAGCATTCACCAGATACAGGCTCCCAGAGGGTGAAGTAGTCACTGCTTCTCCTTTCACCCTGTGCTTGGCTCCAGCCCTTCTGTGGGCTCTGGCCTCATTTGTACATGTCAGGCATACTGGAAATTATTGTTCTCTTGGAAGAAACTGTTAATGGAGCAATTATGGACAGGTGGTTCAACAGTCATTTGTTTCACAGAGCTTGTTAAAAGCCCTAGTTTCCTTCCACAAAGTCATGCTGGCAGAAGATTGTCTGTTAGGAACTTTGTTCTGTCTTTGCTTAAAATGAACTTACTTTGGTGGAGATTCATTACCCATTAGTCTACAATATGCTTCTTGAGCCCATAGGAAAAGCACAAGGAAAATTGCTATCCTTGTCCATGCAAAGCACTTTATAAGTAACACATGATCTCTGGGTTGTTTTGTTTTTTTCTTTTTTAACTGGGGTTTTTTTGTAGTTTTGTTTTTCATTTTTGTTTCTGGTTTTGGTTTGATTTTTTTTCCCTGAGGAATGTGCAAGTTGTTTGGCTGCTGTTTAGATAAGTCCTTTCAGGATGCATTTCTACTGGTTTTCATGTTTGTTTGTTCCCTCCAGATAAGTGTAGTAATATGTGTTTGTCTGTAAGAGGTCCCACATAATGTTCATGCAAAATGTTGGAAGAAATGTGGTTTGTAAATAATTGGGATTATTTTTGGTTTTATCTTTTCCTTCAGGAGTTTTTCTGGATGTCTTGCATGCCATCATAACCAGTCTTAAAGGTGCCCTGTAGATGTTTAGTGAATGGGGAAACGAGTAGACGAGAAATGAGTGCCCTGTGTAGCAGTGGGATGAAGGAAGTAAACTGAAATGATCAATACATTCATGCCCATTACCCCAAATTCCTTAAGCTTCTTCGTGGTGTCCCAGCAACAAGCACATTCCATAGTATGGAAATGTTAGTACATATTTTGTGTGCACATGTTGGGGCAAACGTCAGTCACACAGCTTCTTTAGGCTCTACAGTATCCAGTATTTAATAATTATTTGCAAAAGTACCAGTATCCAGTCCCAGCTGTTCATGTCTTTATCAACCACACATAGACCTTCCCCTCTGCCTTTCCTTTTTCATACAGTTAGATGAGGCCTGTTATCTGTTACATCTTCCCTGTCAGTACGTGATTGTTTCCTGTGTTGTATTTGCTGGAACTGGAACAGTTTAGTGGAGCTTAAACCTGATGGTAGGAGTACAGAGATTGGGGTACTTTCAGAGCAATTTCTGCATGAATTAAGTCACACATGGCCCCAGATAAATTAACCCATTCATTTCATTTTTGCTAAACTCACGCAGGTCATTAAATGAATCTACTTCTGTGTTTTATGTTTACCTAAAATTATCTCTCCTTGTACTTGAATGCTCTAGCAGCTGATGATGATGCAGAATGTTTGAGGCCAAGTACTGCCATCTTACCATGGCCTCTCAGCATTACATGGATTAGAGAATTTGGCCTTTGTGACATAAGTGAGTAAAATGCTGACTGTTGATAAATACCATGTCGTTACACAAATGCCCAAATTGGGGGAGATCACTGAAGATCACGCATAAATAGGTTTTCTTCTGTGTTTTCCTGGTGATGTAAATGCATCTGGCATTTTACAGAATGTTTAAGGAAGCCAGATCCCCAGACATCTCACAAACAAGTTCAAATTGAAGCTTTGATAGCCGGAGGGGCTGCATTTAGGGAAGAAGCATGTAGACATTTCACACTTTTGCAGCCTCTAGATTTCATTTCCTTCTTGACTATGAGTACAGCATGTGTAGCACAAACCCTTCATAGTACTGTATACAACATGTCTTCTGTCTATTGAAAGAATCTATCACCGATAGCACAGTGTGACAGAAAAGCTTTCTAGGTACAGTCAAGTTAAAAAGCAGTTGTGTGAGTTGACTCTTAGGGCATCACTCTGAAGGTGCTGGGTGTTCTTTTCTGTTACGCATTTTACATAGAAGTTTATGAAACAAACTTTCTGTTTGCTGCAACCTTGTTACTGTGTGTTTGTAGTTAGTATTTGTTTTGATATGCATTTTAAATATTTTTCTTCACTGCTTCATTACTCCATACCAACTGTGTAAAGTTTAACAAAGGCAAGTGCCAGATTCTGCACCTGGTATGGGGCAACCCTGGATGTACACACAGAGTGGGAAATGAGAGGCTGGAGAGCAGCACTGCAGAAAGGGACCTGGGGGTCCTGGTCAATAGCAAGTTGAACATGAGTCAGCAGTGCCCTGGCAGCCAGGAGGGCCAACTGTGTCCTGGGGGGCATCAGGCAAAGCATTGCCAGCTGGGTGAGGGAGGGGATTGTCCTGCTCTGCAGTGGGGTGTCCTCACCTTGAGTACTGTGAGCATTTGGGGGCACCTCAATGTAAAAAAGACATTAGGCTATAAGGCAGTATCCAAAGGAGGGTCATGAAAATGGTGAAGGGCCTTGAGGGGAAGCCATATGAGGAGTGGCTGAGGTCACTTGGCTTGTTCAGCCTGGAGAAGAGAAGACTCATTACAGTCTTCAATATCCTCACAAGGGAAGAGGAGGGGCAGACACTGATCTCTTCACTCTCATGACCAGTGACAGGACTCGAGGAAACAGCATGAAGCTGAGTCAGGGGAGATTGAGGTTGGATATGAGGAAAAG